ATTGGGATCTATTGGTTATATCACCTTAAGTGAATGTTTAAAATTTCTTGTTGTATATGAATACAAGCAGGATGGGTTTTATGGTGTAGTGGACCATATTGGAGTCAGATGTGCTAAGTTCGAGCCGCAACTTGGATAGTTTGTTTGCCACTTCAAACCTAAGTTTCCTCATCTGTAAAATGTGAATAAATATACAGATTGTAAAGATCAAAAAAGGAAGTATGTGTGAGAGAATGCATCTGAGGATGCACTGAAAAGAGCTCTGCCCCTTCCTGGATGAAGTTGGGCAACTCATTTCAGTTCTCAGAACATCTTTCCATCTGTAAAACGAGATGGTCAGATAGCACATCTTAACTTCAAAATCTAACATTCTATAGTGTGGTTAGCCGAAATCTTTTTCAAAGAACAGTATAAGCATTGAGAGTTATCGACCAGGTGATTTAATATAATTAACAATCTAATGGTTGCTATTGTTAAAGTGAAATTATTCTGATGTGAAGGAAGACTTCATTCAAAACTGTTAGATGGGAAAAGAGATTGAATTTAATTCTGAATATAGTGGAAACAAGTAAGGATTTTGGGAGGGGGTGGCTGGACGGTATGGGGATCCAAATCCTTGACCAGCAGAGCTGACTGACCAGCCAACAAGTGAGGATTTTTAACCAACAAGCAGGGTGAGGGAGTGGATGGAAAATTACTAACAGGAACTTGGTTAGGTATCAAAGATCAGGGGAGAGGAGCTTGATTGGATATCAAGGCTGGAGGATTCTCAGTAAACTGGCATATCAGAATTCTTTGCTAAGATGGGGCTCTGCAGGCTAAGGGCAAAGCCTACTCAAGGAGACAGCTCAAAGGAGCCTGACTAGTTTGGTCAAGGAGGGAGTCCTTGTTACTATGAGCCAAATAATGCCAGACTTAAATCATTTTTGGAACAGGGAACAGTGAATACCAGCTTTAAATCATTTTTGGAAGAAGATAGAGTAAATATATAAAAATATTTTTTTTAAGTAAATAAATTGAAGACAATATGGGGTTTTGGAAATATCAGATGAGTGGTTCTTTAATTTATCTTTCTACTTGTTTCAGGGAGATGGCTGGATTTATTATAAGCCCCTTTGGAAAGTAATTCCAACAACACAACCAGCAGAGTGACACATGCTAACACTCGACCAAATGAGGTTCTTCTCTGTTTATCCTAAACCCTCCCAGAATGGAATCATTGCACTGAGTGACCTGCTTCCTGATTTCACAGACTCAGATTAGTTAAACACGAATGTACCTACTAGGGCACCGTAATACTGCAGCAAGACCAAAGTGTTAATGAGACAAAATGGGCCTCTCACAAACCTGTTCATGTAATGTGAGCAATACCATCTTAAAACCTTTTACCTGAATTATTAGATGATTAATCTTTTATCCAGTTCCTGCTCCTAAAGCTAAGTTTGAATCCCCTATTTTTGCACAGGGGCAGCAGATACACACAACAGTGACAATTCAGTGACTTTGATTTCTATATAGTGAAAAGTGAAGTCTCTTTCAGAGTTTGTGTTTTGCCTTCTGTCTGTAACTGAGGTGTTCACTACTCCTATGAACCAACCAAGAGGAGGAGGAAGATGACCCAGAAGTGGATTCAGCCATTGTGCCTGAAATCAGTGTTAAAAAAATCAACCAGGTTGTGGTAACAAGGCATTCTATTTCTTCAAAAAAGACTGTGCCTGTGTCTGAGGAACTTATCCATTATCCACCTCTGTTGGAACACTCTTTTAAAAAATGTATTTATAAATTGATTAGAATTACAACCATCGAGAATTTTTTCTTCTGAGCATTTTAATATACTTGAAAACAACATTGACTTGAAAAATTTCAGAACATTTTTCAATACCTAGTTTTATTAAATATTATACTTGAGAGACAATTTTTTTAAATGTGTTCATGTCAATATGATGAGATTTTGGCCTTTCTCGAGAACTAAGGCATTAAAGAAAATAACAAATATTTAAAAACAAAACTGTTACTTTTTTCTTCATCTTTTTTTCACTTGTAGGTTAATATCCAGTATTATGTGCTATCCCTCTGGATAAGTATGCTTTATCTTACCTCTGTTCATTCAGATATTAAATGACTTCATATTTGTCAGTAATTCAGAAGTTATATGTGTGGCTGAGCACATGTAAGGTATGGTTTTATTTTATTTTCAAGGAAACTTAAGTGCTGAAGAAAAAAATGGAATAAAATGATATCAGGAGAAAAAGATTTCAGGAAGTTGTATTCAGGTACACATCTCTTTTTAAATAAGTATTTTACTGAGGTTGCAGAATTGCTGGCAATTGAAAGAATAGTGCTAATTATGGCTTTTATCATTCATTCAAGTATTTATAGAGCACCTACTTATGGTGCTCAACACTTGTTACTGCAAGCTACCTTAATTTCCCAAGAGTGGTGCCTTACTGTTTCTTCTGATGTGGTCTTCCAATCAGTGTGTGTAACGTATACCTGTTATTCATCAGCCATCGTAGATGGCTGTGTCTGTTGTATCATCATAAGACGTTTAAGCTTTGTGCTCTGATAAATTGTGTTCTGTTAAAGGGGTTAATAGGATGAAAACAGCAGAACAATTTTTCACCAAACTGTAAATTATAAGAAAAAGAATTGGTTTATGTACAACCATTTTAATGATTCCCTTGCTCAATTTTGCTGTGAAATGCACTGAAAAATCTCAAAATGAGTTATAGTTTGTGTTGAGAAAACTGAGAAATAATAAAACTAGAGAACAATGATGCTTTTTTTGGTCTGTTTTATGAATGGAGAGAAATAGGAAGTTTATATTTAGTAGGATTATCGCCCTGTTCGTTTGGGAGGACATTGATTTTCTCTTTAAATCCTTATCTTCAGGAATCTCCAGCTTAAGGAGTAAATTTAATAATAGTTTTTAAAAATTAAAATGTTTACTTTTTAAATATACTAGAGATAGAGCAAGAATATATAATGAAAACAGAGACTTGTTTTGCTTTTTTTTTTTTTTTTTTTTTTTTTTTTTTTCC